AGATAATGGGTTCAGTTTTAGAATGCTGTGTTTGAGGTGACTATCCAACATTCAACTGAATTTGTCTAGTGGATAAATACCAACCTAGCTCTCAGAAAGGAAATCGGGGCTGAAAGGAGCTAGGCAGGTCATCCATTCACAACAGCACTTGAAGTGGACCAGAGGGCCCAGGGAGAAGATGAAGAGTAAGAGAAGACTGAGTGAAGGATACTGATACTTAAGAGGCAGAGGAAACTGGACACTGAGAAGGTGCAGAAAGACAGGAGAGAACCAGGCGTGTGCTAGAAAGGAGGGAAAAGCAGAGCAAGAAAGAGGGTATGATAAACCGCCAAATGTTGCCTTGTCATATACAGAAGGGACTGACAAGTATCCACTGGATTTAACAAAACAGAAGTTACTGATGAGCTTGGTAAGAACAATTTCAGCAGGGTGGTAGGGGTCAACTCCATTACTGTGTGGAACAGAAGTGAGTGGAAAGAAAAAAAAATAAAGGAAGTCATCCAAGAAATGATTTTTTCAAGGAACCAGTCTGTGAACGGAAGCAAGGAGAGATGTGTCATAAGCAACGCTTACTTAAGATACAAATATCTTCAGCATGTTCACAATTTGTCGGGAAAGAGCCAAACCAAATCCGCTACTATCGATTCTGACTGAGGGAAATTCTAAAGATGCAGAAGAGAAAGGGGACAACCACTAGCACAAAGTCTCTGAGAAAGCAGAGTAAGTGGGATACAGGCCACAAGAAAAATGACCAGCTTTAGAGAAGCAGAGCAACACCTCTTTCACTGAAACAAAAGAGGAGGAAAGCATGGAACTGGACATAGGCCAGCTAGCAGATCTGGTGGTGGGCAGTTGAGGGAGTTCGTACCGGATGTGAAGTAGGAAGAAGGGCGTTCACTACAAGTGAGATGAGATGGCAGTGCCTGAGAGATCTGAGGAGAGCAGGAAACAGAAGACAGCTGTGGGCTGCACTGAGAACCCGGGGGAGCCAGAGAGCATTAACTGATGTCAGTAATTCGCACCGCTCAGCAGCCTCAGTACAAACAGTCCACTGAACTCATCCAGGTTGGGATGCTGCCAGACAGGTTTAACAGAAAGACAATGAGACAAAAAAGTTGAAGCTACTGGAAAACAACTGGTAGAAGTGATGGATGGATGGTATCACCCTGGATGAGAATAAAGTAAAATTCTTCTTTAAACTGACACCTCAACCCATTCTAAATTGCTGTGACCTGCAAAACTGCGTTGAAACTATTATTTATAAGTTTCACATAGCCATTTTTGACAGCCTCATTTGGTTTCCTTATCTTACAAAGACAAAAAATAAAAATACTATGGCAATTTACAAGCTACTTGTAAAATTCAATAACTGATCTTTTTGAAGAAAATCCTGTTATAAGATTCTTACTATAAAGTAGCATCATACATGTAAGTAGAATATCACAGTATTAAATACCAAGAGAATACCTATGACTAAGGTTTTTATCTTTAAAATAAAACATAGCAAAAAAGAAAAAGAGATTAACCGATCAAGTAGAGAAAAAAAAGATTTTCCTTAAATCTTCAGAGTTCAAATATTATTTTTCAGTCAGCATTAAATTACACCAAACCTTCACTGGAAATACTTTTAATTTTCAACAGCTGTAAATCAAGGTTACAGAAATACTCATTATAGAAATAAAACAATGTAGAAAGTACACAGTTTTTTTCCTAAGCATTTATTTCAATTCACAAAATAACAAAAGCTGAT